CCTAGCCTCTCCGCTGATAATGCTACTGACTTTGAAACTCTCTGAAGTGGTAGATGTTTCCTCTTCTTGCACACCTTTTATTGGTGAACCAAGAGGTAGAGTAGATGTCTTCTTTGTTCCTCATTATCACTTCTTGACCATTCTTTTCCAAAACTTTAAGCTTTGACTCTCATGCCATCAAATTATACCACCCACTACCCCTCCTCATTTCAGTCGTCTACCAACTTTACTGGGTCGTTCCCCTACTTCCTTGAATACCATTATCTCCTGGCTCACTGTCGTCTTTATTTCTGTCATAATTCTTGGTTCTTGGTGATACCAATATCCGTGTGGAGCACTGCTGCTCAAAATGTCACCTGGTCTGTGAACTGTTTGTTACTAGTATGAATTGCAGTAAGGAGTTTGTGCCAAAATGTAACTCACCTGTGTTGCTAAGTTCAGTGTTTAGTTCAGCAGACTTTTTTTGGTGCCAAAACTTTTTTGATGGAGGAAGCAGTATGTTGGTTTATATAATCTGGCACAAGCTCCTTAGGGTGTCGTGGTCTGGTACTTTGAGTAACACTGATGTAGAGGATGCTTCCGCTGTTCTGACCTCTTAGTTCCTTGATGTCCTCTCCTCCAGTGATCTTATTTTTCCATCTGATTCAACCACCCCAGTACTTCAATTCAAACAGCCTTTCAGCCCCACTGAAACTTACACTGTCTTTCTAAGCTTTTCAGTATCCCTCACCCTCACTTCTACCCAACTGAAATTTCATGTTGAATCGTAATCACTTCCTTATATACACTCTCAACAACCTTGTCCCTCTCTGATTTCATGTCCAGTGGTCCTTGGTCTCTTAGTTCACCCCTCTTTATGACTGTATCTTTTTCCTCTCTCCTCAAACCTCCCCAAACCCACTCCCCCAGCCTTGCTTTCATCTATTTCCCTTGCTTTCTATTTCACAAAGCATATTGAATAATTGGAAGAATTCCTGTATGCTTCCACATCTGTGACTGTGCCCTTTACCTTCTCCTCTGTCATCATGGACAAACTGTAGCGTTCAGAGATAAGGACAACCAGCTCATTTCTATACTAGATCCCATTCCCTCTTGCTCTCAAGAATACGACCCTGTCATTCTCCCTTCTCTGGCATCATTGGTTTTTCCTTCTGTGAGCATACAGACATGATATTATTTGTCCCATTTAAAACAAAAAAATCTTTTCTTCCTATTTCCCCTTTCATCCACCCAGTCTGCTGCTTTTTCGAACAAGACACTTTGAAACAATTGCTTGGATACACTCTCTCCCCTTTTCTTTTCAGCCCATACCAGTGACCACCATGTTATAAATCTCTAGTCCTCATCTCACTTAACCTCTCAGTAGCATTTGGTACAGTTGCTTGAGACACAAGTTTCCCTTGGCTTCTAGGCCACCGCATCTGCTAGCAGGTTTTATTTCTACCTCACTGGTGGTTCCTCCTTAGTCTTCCTTGCTTTTTCTGTCATCTCTGACCTCTATGTTGTAGTGGCTGAAAATTTAGTCCTTGGACCTCTCCTTTTTCATTGTGTAAATACACTCCAGTCTCATAGCTTTAAACATTTAATCTATTTGCTCATGGCTTCCAGATTTATATCCCTAGCCTGGATTTCTCCCCTGAACTATAGATCCTGATAGCCAACTTTTTCCCCAACATTTTGGATGTCTCAGAAGCATTCTCAAATGTAATATCTAAAACTGAGCTCCCAATTTCTCTTAAAGCTGCTTCTCTTAGTCTGTCCTAAATGGAACTCAGTCTTTCCAGTTACTCACACTTAAAACCTTGCTGTTCTTGACTGTCTTTATCGCACCCCGTATCCAAACCCTGTCTGAGAATTGTGTCTGCTCTCCTTTTAAAATATGTCCAAAATCTAGGCATTTCTTACCATGCCATTTCATAGCCTTGCTGTCCTAATCTTTTGCCTGGATTACTGCACAGGTCTTCTAACTGGTCTTCCTGCTTACACCTTTGTTCCCCTTAAGCGTATTCTCAACACAGTGGCCAGAATAATCCTTTTAAAGCAATAGATCATATAACTTCTCTGTTTGAAAACCTCCAGCGGCTTAACCGTCTCATTCTGTAAAAGCACAAACTCCTATGTGTTTGGACTACTCTCTTTATCACCTACTCCTTTCCTCCTCTCACTCTTCATAGAAATAAAACTGAAAGGAGATAAGAAAGAAAGAGAGGAAACCAGTAAAATAACTACCGCAATCATCCAGGTGACAGATGGTGGTGGCTTAGGTTAGGGTAGTAGCAGTAGGACAGAGTAGCTAGATTGGAGGAATGCTTTGGAGTTAGAAACAATAGCCTCTGCAAACTCCGTAAAAGTGCAGTTCTTCCCCAACTTTCTATCTCCTATCTCGCTTTATGTTTTTCCTTAGGCCTCATCACTGTCTAACATAATAGATATTTTACCTTTTTACCACCTTTTTCTTAGCCTCCTAGAACATGAGCTCTAGGAAGACAGGGATTATTGTCTATTTCCTTACTGTTTTCTTCCCAGTACCTAGAATAATAGTACATAACTAGATGATCAGTGAATGTGTGTTGAGTGAATGACTTTTAAATCTTTTCACCTCATTTTGGATCTTTCCCAATAGCATACAAATATATTCCATCTTTGCAGAGGTGGTTCCTTCCTGTCATTTATGGCTCATGTCAGATTGAGTTCTTCCCTCTTCACTCATTTTCACTTTATTATATTCTTTTATTTAGTTTGTGGCACTTAATCATACTCTGAAGTAACATTTGTTTACTCGCTTGTTCTTTCCCCCGTCACTGTCTTTTTCTGATTTGTATGCCTGGTACTCAGAACAGCATCTGGAAGTTGTAGGTGCTAATAAATACTTGTTGAATGGGTGAATATTCTGGAATTGGATGACCTTTGTTTCTTTCCAGCTAATGCCCCTTTAATTTCTCTGCTCCCTTTCATAGTCTGAAAGAGATATCCTATGGATATGGTCTTCATTTTTCATCTCCTATTCCAGTGTGTGTTCTGCTTTCATTATTTCAGTGAATGTGCTCTTGCTGAACTCACTGTTGGACCTCCATGCTGACCAGTCAAAGAGATACTTTTTACCTTTAGTCTTGCTGGATCACTCAGCATTTGGTGCATTTTTTTTTTTTTTTAACTTCCCTCTGGAACCGCAGTGTCCAGTAGAACTTTCTGTGATGGTGGAAGTGTTCTACATATGTGTGGTCTGATATGGTCGCCACGAGCTACATGTGGCTCTTGAGCACTTGGAATGTGACTGATGAGCTAAATTTTAATAAAATTTAAATGTAAATAGTCATGTGTGACTAACGGCTACTGTATTGGACAGCGCAGTTCTAGAAACGTTCTCCTTTCTTACATTGCACCAAACTCAGTAAGTATCACAACCTAATTGCTCAAGCCAAACACCTAGTAGTCATCTTTAATTCCTCTCATCTACTTTAATTTCTCTCATCTACTGCAATCAGTCCATCAACCAGAGACTCTTTTCTATCTCCAAAGTATTTCTCTAACCTAGCTACTTTTTGTTCCTAGTGCTGTTACCCTAGCCTAGGCCACCACCATCTGTTACCTGGACATTGCTATAGTTGCTTTACTGGTTTCCCTTTTTTCTGTTCCCCTTTCAGTTTTTTTTCATTATAGCCAAAGCCAGTTTTGAAAGACTCAAATACGATCTTGTTATTCACCTGCTTATAACCTTTTATGGACTTCCAGTGGCACTTAGAGTAAAAAATACATTTTTTAACAAAGGCTGTAGAGCCCTACATGATCTGGCTATTTTCAGCCTCATCTCATTTTAATCACACTTTCCCACTTTAATCGAACCACCGTGGTCTTAAAAGATGACGGGGTCCTGATGATTGTGGGCTTCTGCACATGTTTTCTTGTTTCTGGAATGTTCCTGCTCTGCTCCTTACATGCTGGCTCTTCTGCATCTTTCTTCAGGTTTCAGCTTGAAGGTTATCCTCACAGCTTAAAGGTACCCTTGAAGGTTACCACAGAAGCCTGTGGCCACTCTGAGTAGGGCCTTGCACTTGTCCTAGTGTCATTTCCACTCCATTCTCCCACTTGTTAACTTAGTTATACACTTATCACTGTTTGTAATTGTTTATTCACTTGTTGTCTGTCTATCAAGAATGCAAGGACCACATCTATTTTATATCACCACTGTGTCCCCAGAATCTATTACTCTTCTTGGTATGTAGCAGTTGCATAACAAAATTTGAATATATGAAATCTTTACATTGCATTTATGCTATTGGTATTGCTATATCCTGGAACTATGGAGTAAATGAAAGAATTGTGGGAGAGGTTTCTTGTGGAACAGAAAATCTCTTGATTAAATCACAATTTGGTAAATGAGAAGATAATATACCAATTGGGCATTCTTATATAGCTCCAGGTTATGACTTATTTATTGGTGTATTTTTGGACTCACAGTAGAACAGAGATTTAGAGTTCCTTGAATTTCTTTGTTTTCAGGTAATGGAGTAACATTTTGAAAATAAAAGTTTCCTAGCTTACTCTGCTTTCTATAATATTCTGCTACTCTTCCTAAATTTGAGAGAGCCTCATAATTAGGAGACCTACTGCTATGGTAAGGCTGTCAAACGCAGCAAGATGTCCTTCTGCTTGGGAGAGTGCCGTAAACTTGATATGCGTCGTGTGGGGGCAGAAGGTTGCTAAAGATTAAGTTAGAATATGTGCTGTCTTAATGAATAGATGCTTTGCAAGGAGCTGATGTTAGGGTTACTCTGTGGAGTCGGGTTTATGTTTTGGGTTTTTTAGCCTGGGTTACTGACTAATGTTATACATAGAGTTGAGTCATATAGTTTGTCTACGGCTGTAGCCCTTTGCTCTGAGGGTAGCAGCATCAGCAACATGTATGGCACTTAAAAAAATAATACAGTGCCAAGGTTCTATCCCAGCCCTGCTGATAGAAAACCGTGGGGATGGAGCCTGGTAACCTGTGTTTTTTAAAGTTCCAGGTTAGAGCCTTTGGAAGGATCTGTTTGCCAGTTTAAAGGGCTCTACAAGCAAGCTTGGAGATCTTTTTAGTAAAACACAATTTTAAAGGGGGAAATTGGATGAAGGCAGTCAAAAGGTACGGACTTCCAATTAAAAGATAGATAAGTACTAGGGATGTAATGTACACCATGGTAATTTAACATTGCTTTATGTTATATATGGAAGCTGTTAAGAGAGTAAATCCTAAGTTCTCATCACCAGAAACAATTTTTTTCTATTAATTTTGTATCTATATATGAGATGATGGGTGTTTGCTAAACTCTTCATGATGTATGTAAATCAAATCATGCTGTATATCTTTTTTTTTTTTTTTTTTTCTGTACTCAGGCCTCTACTGTTGTGGCCTTTCCCATTGCGGAGCACAGGCTCCAGACGCACAAGCTCAGCGGCCATGGCTCACGGGCCTAGCTGCTCCGCGGCATGTGGGATCTTCCCAGACCGGGGCACGAACCCATGTCTCCTGCATTGGCAGGCAGACTCTCAACCACTGTGCCACCAGGGAAGCCCCCATACTGTATATCTTATACAGTATGTATGTCGTTTATATCTCAATAAAACTGGAAGAAAAAATTATAAACTCTGGAAAAAAAAATAAAAATAACTGTTGGAAGGTACCAAGAGAACTGCAAAAGAAGTTTGAGGAGATGTGACCCATGAAAGAAGGGAACTACACTCACTGGGTGACATCCATATTTCTAAGGCTTCTCCAATGAGAACAGTCACCAGTGTTTCTGGTGCAGTATGACTAGAACTCATGAAGTATCAGACGATGGAGCTCAGGGTTGCCAGGATGGCTGGAAGTTGAGTTGGGGGGTAGGTAGATTCACAGTGGAGGGAGTCCCAGAGGGGAGCTTCAGAATCTGTACATAACTCCCTTCAGATCCTCGGCCTACCCCAGAAGTGTGTGTGTGTGTGTGTGTGTGTGTGTGTGTGTGTGTGTCGAGGGGTGGGGGGTGGCAATTCCAAGGAACTCTCATTTTAAAGCAATACATGGAACACTGAGGAACATGAGCAGAGATTTCAGCTTCTACCCGCACAGTGAAGAAGAGTTTGGAGCTTGGTCCTGCCAAGTTAGGGGGTCTTGGTAAACACCTCATGCTTTTCATTTGAAACCAGGGAAGGGTCACACCTTAGGAGTAAAGACGTTTCCCAGGATTAAGGTAATTTACCCTAAATCTAAGGGTAAAATCTGAAATAGATTCCTCCTAAGAAAGTGTAAAACCAAGCTCCGTAAAATTAAGGTGATTTAACTGCCTTAAAGAAGAAAACTCAACAGTCTTTAGAAGACTCCAGAAACCAGAGTCTCCACAATATATCTAATACACAATCTATAATGTATGCAATATACAATCAATAATTACTAGACATGTGATAAAATAAGAAAAAGTCACCCAAAGTCAAGAGAAAAAAAATGCTGAAATAACCCAGATGTTAGGATTTGCAGACAAAAGTAAGACAAGAGGAACAAGACCAGCATATAATTTATAACAGCTATAAATGAAAAAACATGTTTAAAAAAAAGACTCTCCAACTGGGTTAAAAAAGATAACACCCAACATGATATTCAATGTATGAGGCACATTTAAAACAAAGATTCAAAAGGTGAAAGAGAAGTAGCAAAAATATATCAAATAATATATAAATAGCAGAAGTAACAGTATTTGTATCAAAGTCAGTTTGCTATAAGAAATTTAAATTCTTTGATAATCTGTACAGTTTTACAGAATTTGGTATTATATCTACACCTGTTGATATCTCTGTGATACATTGTTTAGTTAAAATGCTTTAGAAAACACATTTGGTATGAAGATACGTAGTACAGTTGACTTTTTTTTTTTTTTTGCGGTACCCGGGCCTCTCACTGCCGTGGCCTCTCCCGTTGCGGAGCACAGGCTCCGGACACGCAGGCTCAGCGTCATGGCTCACGGGCCCAGCCGCTCCGCGGCATGTGGGACCTTCCCGGACCGGGGCACAAACCAGTGTCCCCTGCATCGGCAGGCGGACTCTCAACCACTGCGCCACCAGGGAAGCCCCGTACAGTTGACTCTTGAAGAACACAGGTTTGAACTGCATACATCAACTTAAACACTTTTTTCCACCAATAAATGTAGTGCCTGTATTTTGATTTTACAAATCTTTAAGTGTGAGGAAAAGTTTCTGTTGGATTAGAGATCGCAGTATGTGGAAGAAAAAAACGAGGGGTTTGAGTTTTGATTCTGTCCCATCCTTGGGCGAGTCATTTATCAGTTCCTTTGTTTCTGAGGCAGAGATAGCAGTATGCAGATTTTCTACCATGTGGGGGCTAGTGCCCCTAAACCCCTGTCGTGTTGTTCAAGGGTCAGCCGTGTATATATCTTCAGAAATGTTCATTGAGCACTTTCTGAAAGTACCAGGTGCGTAACTGTTGAAAAATTAGACTAAAATGCATAGAGAGAAAGTTGGAATTATTAAGACAGTAATATTCTTCATATTCCTCTGTATAAAGGTATTTATTAACTTATAATCAGAAAATATATATATATACACTATTGGGGGAAAAGTAGATGAAAAATCATTCTCTCTATGACAGTAACACTAGAAATTGTTTCTAGAGAGTTAAAAAATAATTCTAGGTAACTCATAATTTCTGTGTCATCATAACATCCTCTGTAGACACTGTCTCCATTGGCCAAACGTGCGGGTCTAAGTGATATTAATAATGATCATTAATTAATAACAACAACAGTGGCTAACATTTTTTATGGGGGGAAGAAAAAGGCATATTGAAGCCATGTTCTAGTTTGGCATATACCTGACCTTAATGGCCTGATATGTTTTTCCCAAACAAATGGACTTGATGTGGCTTTCATATGTCATTTGGTCCAGTTTCATTTTTTTCACACAGCCTGCTTTTGAAGATACTCCTGGGAAAAAGGTGAGTGACTTCTCTTAGTAACCTAGTAGCCCACTTAAAAACCCTTTCTGTTGTTGGTCTTCACATTTAGGTTTAATGTACTTAATTAAAATGTAAACTCACTTGCCTTTCGTTTGTACTTAGTGAAAGTAATAAATAGGTGAAGGGTTGGCCAACTGCTGCCTACCACCTGTTTTTGTATGGCCTGAGAACTAAGAATGATTTTTATACTTTTTAATGGCTGATAAAAATCAAAAGACAGATAATATCTCATGACACGTGAAATTTACGAAATTCAAATTTGCACTTTCCATGAATAAAGTTTTCGTTTGTTTGTTTGTTTTTTGCGGTACGTGGGCCTCTGGCTGTTGTGGCCTCTCCCGTTGCGGAGCACAGGCTCTGGACGCGCAGGCTCAGTGGCCATGGCTCACGGTCCCAGCCGCTCCGCGGCATGTGGGATCTTCCCGGACCGGGGCACGAACCCGCGCCCCCTGCATCGGCAGGTGGACTCTCAATCACTGTGCCACCAGGGAAGCCCCATGAATAAAGTTTTATTGGAACCTAGCCATGCTCATTAGTGTGCATATTGTCCGTGGTTGCTCTCTCACTACAATAGCAGAGTTGAATAGTTGCTACAGAGAGCTTAAGGCCTGCAAAACCCTGTAATATTTACTGTCTGGCCTTTAACAGAAAAAGTTTGCTGACTTCTGTTCTAGATGATACACATTGTTCACAAATGAATCCTTCATGTTCGTAAAGGCATTTAAGAAGTCTCAGGTATATATAATTGTTGGTTTTCTAAGCCTCTATATTACATTTTAGTTGTTCTGCCTACTTTTAGAACATTTTTCTTGTTTTTAGCACATTCAGTCCATCAAGTATTTAAGAGCTTAATGTGTGCTAAGTACTTTGGAAGCAGTGAGGAGCTAAAGGTACAGCCCCAAGACCTCTCAGAGTTCACATATTGAGCATGCCTTTTCTTTTTTTTCTTTTTAAAGATCAGTGTGCCGGTATGGTGGGGAAGGGGAACTCTTACAACAAGTGGAGAAGAGGAAGGTTATTGTTATGGGATAAAAAGCAATGCATTTAAATTGCTTCTGGAAGTCTTTGATTCCCTTCCATTAATTCTGCCTGTAGCCTGAATTTAGAGAGTAACATCTAGAAACTTTCTTGAAGTAAAATCTTCCATTTCCTTGGCATAATATACTCATGTTTGAAAATCCTGCATTTTCTTGTCAGCATTTTTGCTAGGCACAGAGTCAAAATATGGAGTATGTACTGATTCAAATCTTAGAAATATTTTTAAATTTTTTTTTTTTGCTGTGGTTACTGTTTAAAGAATGTAGTTCTTTAGTATTACTTATGATACTTTTATCTAAAAGTTGCTAACCCTTCTCTTGCACTTAACTGCAACAGTGATTGTTAAATACTAATAGTGTGTAACTTTGGGGTGGGGATGGGATAAATGATTTGATTGAAAGGGCATGTGACTGAGCTAGACAGACCTGGATATGAGTTTTAACAGAGCAGTTTAATAGCTCTACTCATATTAACTGTTGCTAGTCATTTTTTTCATCTGATGATTTGGGGGAATGTTACCTACTTTATGAGGTTGCTTGGGAAGATTCCATTACTTTGTGATGCAGTTGATTTTTAGAATATCGCCGCTTTAGTAGAATAAGAACTGAATGAAAAATCTCTGTTAGGTTAAATTACTAAAAATAGAAATTTATTGATATAATAAAATGACATTTGCCTAAATATTTTAAAAACCTACAGTAAGTTTGATTTCTTTGCTTTTAGAAAACATTGGTTATTTTTCCTAAGAATGTCTCTTTTTTTAAGCAATTTCTTTGTGCCGTGAGGTGCTAATGGTTGGCTGAGTAGTTTCCACATTTCTTTTGCAGAAAGTCCATTTTATAGGCCACTTAGCTTTTATGTTTAGAAACATTTACTTAATGCTGTATATCACTGGCTAACATAGAGTGGGCTAAATGATAGATATTTTCTTGGGCAAATATCATTTCTAATACCGATATATTATTTCTATACATTTTCTTTGCAAAAATGTCTATTAAAAAGTATGCAATGCCTTGCATATTAGATATATGTTGAATTTTTTCTATGTATTCTTTTTAACTTTTAACGGCTTCATAGTAATTCTCTAACCCTCTCAACGTGGA